CGAGCATGTATTTCGGTTTCTATAATATGTTTGATGCATATGAGAGGGTTTTCTGGGTTAGTAAGGCTGTCTTCAAAAGTCTTTTCACACCTTCTTTTCCAAATAGTCCACAGGGTTGCCTTTCTTATTTGTGAGAAGAAAAATAAATCAAAGCCCTTGAGAGGTGGGGTTTGTTCTAAATCTAGGAGTATAGTGCGTGGGTTTATTTGTACATGTCTGCTAGAGTGTCTGCCCCAGGTTTTCTCCATGTCGAGCCAGAGGGTGTGGGATTTTTCGCATTCGAGGAAACAATGGTTTAGAGTTTCGATAGCTTCTAAGTTACAGACTTTGCACCATGAGGATTGTTCGGATCTGTCTTCTTTTCTTCTTCTTTGCGCAAGCCAGTCGTTTACTGGGGCTGCTCTGAAAGTAATGAGCCATAGTAGACTTGCCAGTTTGACTGGTTTTGTGCTGAAGATTGTGGCCCAAGAGGGTTTGATGGATAATGTTGCGAGAGAACTTTCATCTTTTTGCCATCTTTTTTGTACTATTGAAGTGGTCGAAATGGGCGTGGAAAATAGCTTATAACCTAGTTTGGCAGTGTAGTCTGTTAATTTATATCTTCTTGTTGTTTTTGAGATGCTGTTAGGGATGTTCCAAGACCATTCTGCTGGGTCTACTTCTAGTTGTTTGATTTCTAACTCGGGGTTGTAAACTCTGTTCGTTTCTCCTTCTAGGACTCTGATTCTCCTAAGGTTGTTGATTTTGTAATATGCCTCTGCCCTACTTTTGTCAGTTAGGAAGCTTACTGGGTTTCCTGGTTCTTTCAAGGGGAATATGCTATAGCTAATCCATTCGTTGTTATGTATTTTGTTGCTTAAGATCTTTAGAACTTCTTGTGTGTTTGTCTGATTCTTCGGTGAGGCCCAGTCACCTGTCTGCCATTTTTGATCTCTTCTTAATAGTCTTCTCCATTCCATAGGTATAGATTCGATGATGTGTGAGAGATTGGCTTGTAGGTTATGGTTTCCCTTGAGAGTCAGTCTTAGCTCTTTTTCTGTTTTCCAGGTATTGTCTGTTTCGTTCCATAAGTGTTGAATTTGCCAGATCCCCTTTTCAAGCCAGTTCCCCCATTTGGCATCTGATTTAGTGAGAGAAAAGCTTTCTCCTTTTTCGTTTTTGATCCAGGGGTTGCCCAATAAAGGTTGTCTAAGGACTTCGTCTCTTCTTTTGGGGCCCAGTTTGTGCTCCGGGAAAAATTTTCTCCAAGTGCGTATTAGCTGTTCCCACAGGGATTTTGACTGTTCGTCGGGTGTGTCTTCTGTTTGGTCTAGTTGGTGTTGAGTCTTTTTGTCTCTTGGGAGAGGCCATTTATTATTAAATAACCAGAAGAGGCCCGACATATTAGTGGGGGAGTTATATGGGGCTAATTGCCTGATGTGATTGAGGGCCAATGGTGCCCATTGAACGTTGGTATGTAAGGTGAGTCTCAATATCCATTTAATTTGTAGGGCCTGTATTTGTCGGGCTGGGTCCAGGAGACCCAAGCCTCCTTTTGACTTCGGTAGTGTTACTATTGACCATGCTACTTTGTGGATAAAGTGTTGCTTTTCTGGATTGCCAGTCCACAGATAAGTTGCTGACCTTCTTCTTATTTCCTGTTCAAAGTCTGTTGTTGGAAACCAAATGGAAGTGGCGTACCACATCATGGAGAGGATTGAGTTGTTGAGTGCTAGTGCCCTGCCTAGGAGTGATGTGTGTGATCCTTGCCATCTGTCCATTTTGTTGATCATTGCAGTTAGTAGTGTAGGTGTTGTTATTGGGTGACAGCCTTTCATGCTTATTCTTATTCCTAGGAAGCGGATTGGGATCGCAGGGTCTGTCCAGTGGAAGCCTTCTGGGGTGTTTGTTGTGGGTGGGGGGTCCTCAGAGATCCACCATCCTACCGTTTTTGGCCAGTTGACTTTCATTTCAGAAGCTAGCTGGAAGGCTTGCATGGCTCTAGTTAGTGCCTGGAAAGCGGAGTCTGAGGCCCTTATTAGTACCGTTAAATCATCTGCGAAGAGGTGTGGTCAGGAAGAGTATTAAATTGCCTCTCTCATCACGTATATTATCTAGTCTTTCTATTGAGTTGTCTTTTCTTAGAAACGCTGCAATCGCTTCCATGACGAAGAGGAAAATTGGGGCAGCTAAGGGATCACCTTGTCTCACTGATCTCGACATTTTATAGGGGTTTGAAAGAAACCCGTTGATTTGAACAATTCCCTGCGCGTCATTGTATAATACTCTAACCCATTTACGAAAGTTCAGGCCTACACCCATTTTTTCCATGCAAGATTGTAAGAAGTCCCAGTTGACTTGATCATAAGCTTTCTCAAAATCGAAAAATAGGATGGCTGCTGTTATTTTTTTCTGATTTATTATTTTAGTTGCTTCGGTTAAGCTCATTACATTGTCTAATATGAGTCTGCCTGGGATGAAACCTGTCTGGTCTAGGTGGAAGCAACCTCCGGTGATGTGGTTAATTATGGCGGCTAGTAGTTTGGCTAGTATTTTATAAGCTACGTTTAGCAGTGAAATGGATCT